GTGGCTTGTTTGCACTGCAAAGTTTTATCTAGGAAAAGACGGGACAAATGGCAGACACCCTGAATTTAGTTGGGCGTTGTCCAGTGAACGAGTAACATTTCGCACGACACCAAAGAAATGTCGTGGAATATATTCAATTTTACCTCAAAGCTTTCAGCCAACGGGAGCAAGGGATCTCTTGTGGTACCTTCTCTTAAAACTACGATGCTCGCACAGTGTACTCCTTGTAGTAGATCACACACACACACGCACGCACGCACACACACACACACACACACACACACGCGCGCGCGCGCGCGCGCGCACGCACACGCGCAAACGAACACACGCACACGCGCACACACACACATACAAGAACAAAAAAAAAAAAGAAAAAGAGCTTCATGCCTCACCCAACACTGGATAGACTAACAAGAGTTCGTTCCCCTTGCTGGTATAATCGGAGGACCACCAGAGATACCGCACCTATTTGTCCGTTGCCCCGTAGATGAAGAGAGTTAGCAACCAAAAGCAGAAAAGTTTGTCAAACGCACTCCCCCCCCCCCCCCCCCCCCCCCCCCCCCCAGTGGCGTAACCAGGAATTTTTTCCAAAAAACTAAAAGATCAGCTCTAATATAAAAGAAGAGTGAAGCAGAATTATTCCACTGGCCGTGCCAAAAGTACCCTGTTCATTTTGCTTCTGAAGGTGTATAAACAGGAGTCTACAGAGACTGCGGGACGTTCTCCACCACTGAGAGGCAGGCGAGGCGACGCAACCCGTCGTACCGACCGTACAGTGGGGCGAGCGAACGCGGGGAGTGCTCGCGTGTAGCTAAGCTAGCCCTCTCGAGGGACTCCCTATTTGGAGCACTGGCTCGCCTCCAACGTGGCAGCGAGGGCGCCGAGCAGCAACAGGCTGGGCCGGCACACGAAAAAAGCGAAGGGAAGAGAACGGGTAGGAAACAGCGTTGCCAACGCCGCTTTTAGAACCCCCCCGCTTCGAGGACGGCTCGGGGTTGGTGTGTGTGTGTGTGGGGGGGGGGGGGGGCATTGTAGATAGGGAGCGGTATGGCTGTAGACGCCTGCCTTCCGGTCGGCCCAATTACTGCGGTTGTCTCGACGGTGCCTGAACCTTGGTGCACTCCCCGCGGTGACCTTTGTGTTGACAAACGAGAGGGAGGTTGGTCCAACAGGTTCAATCACGCTGCTGGGCAGTGTGGGTATATGGTAACTAACCCTCTGTTGCCAGCAATACGTTTGCCGGCGCGAGTGTGGTGGTAGCTCGCTGTCGGCGAGCGCTTACTGCAGTGCACGCAGCTATGGAGGTCAGTGACCCCAAAGCCACGGTTGTACTACTCATAGATCATGCAAAGGACACGGTGTTCGCTCCACACATGATGACAGAATTATCTACGCACGCGCCTTAAACATGATCGGAGCATGTTTTCTTTATACACATGTATGCATACTTCGAATATGTCTGCAGGTGTTTTTTGTATGACGCATTGGCTGTGTGGACGCGGCTTGGCCTACAGGGGCATGGTCGACTATTTAGTTGGGTTTTTCGTAGTTTCCTACAGGAGAATGATTCTTTTTATCATTCACATGTACTATGCGTTGAAGTAGGAATTATAGGTTTGGAGCCAAGTCCGCGGTCGTGACCTTTCGTCGTGCTTCGCGCCATATACCGAGCTTCTGTATCATAATAAACAATAACGAGAAATGCCTAAAAGCAAATTATTGCAAGTTCTTCTAATGGATTTTTTTTTTTGTGCTATCAGATATATAATAAAGTAAAACGGGAAGTTCTTTCTTAGTGTTGTTTCACACTACGTTCATTGGAACATGTAACTTAAACTACGGCGGTTTTACGGTGTTTTTATCGGATAAAAACGTAGCATAAAACGTAACAAGAGAATTAACAATCGAGCGAACTTGTGTTCACAAATACTAGCGTAGAGAACAACAGGCGTCGGCGAGATGAAGACTGACCCTTTGACAGGGTCAGCGATGGCTTCTGGGGAATCCCAGCGAACTAACGCTATTTGCTGCGTAGCCTTTCACAATCGACGGTGCGTTTTGCCGGACAAGAACCAAGGCTCGCCACGAGCTCGCCATCCATTCATCTGAATGAATAGCGAGTTCATGGCGACCTGACTACACCAACACGGCATGCACGGTGCTACACATAGCCTCCATTGTCGTCCCATGAGCTGCCATTGTGGTGGTCTTGCTGCTGAGCGCACGCCTGCTTCAGCCCTACGTTTAGTACCACTGAATTGCTTTTTTTTTCGGCAAGGACAAGTAGAAATGACCACCAGAATGGTGCGGTGACTTCACGCGCAAGCCACGCATTGCTTGAGCAGCGACGCCAAGTCGCTGATGTCATTAAGGGTAAACAATTTTCATTGAGTCTTTAGAAACTTTTTCAGGAAATAAATATGTCGCCAGCGCAAGTTTGAAATATTATATGCCTGATAACCGAAACGTTCATTCTCTCCTCCGCCCACGTGTCGTAAAAAAAAAAAAAATCAGCGTTAGATTGCGCTACCTTAGATAATGGCATTCCGAATCAAAGATGCGAGACAGAAAAACAGGGAGTGTAGGTAAAACGCGCAACAAAACCTTCTAACGCCTAGCGACAAAAAAAAAAAAAAAAAAGATGAAGAAACGAAACGCGCCGTTAATAGCTTTAACCTCATTGCCTTTCAGGTGATCGATTCTTCTTGTCCCCAACGAACAGTTTGACTTTGTCACTTTTGACACCGAAACCTCTTTGCTAAGAATTTCGGGAACAGACCCAAAAAATCACGAAAAGTTAAGCAACAACCGGGGTTACGTTGCTCCCGCCTCGCTGTTATTTTTTCTTCTACTTGGCCTTTAGAAATTTTTTTGCTACTTTTTTTTTTACACGGCGTTTGACGGGGAAAGAGGGAGAGAAAACAAGGCCGCCAAGGGGCCAGAGATCAATACTACCTAAAAGACAACTTTTAGCCCCCCCCCCCCCCCCTTCCCCTTTCCAGACGTCATCACTAGTGAACACACCTAGCGCCATGTACCTTGCGTCAGCATCACCACTAGCGCGTCTCGGAGCGTCTTACGGCGACGCCAAAACGGGCCCGTCTGCTGCTTTGAAGCGTCTCTCTCATTGCCACATCTTTTAAGTGGCATTGGCCAGATGCGTCGAAAGAGGAAAGGGAAATGACAATTTTGTTGCGTCCGGCAATCGACCGCGTGTCAGTGACAAGCTGGCTGGTGTGTTCGACTCTATATCCGCGGGGGCACAACGTTCCGAAGCAATGTAGCCAAAGCTACGCGCGTTCTTTATTTTCTTCTTTCAAAATGCCACAGGGAGTTGTTCCCGTGAGAATAAACGTCGTCTCTCTGTCTGGCACTGCCGTCAGAGACAAGTGGGCGGTGTGTGCGAAGCGAAGTTCTATACACCACTGACGTTGGCAAGAAGAACCGGGGTATACCGTCAGCGCCACCCGGGTGACAGTCGGAGAAAATGCTCTTCAATCAAACGTCACGTCCGAGCGTCCGTAGAACGCTATGAGGGGGAGTCAACAGCCACGTTCCCGTGGGTAGTTCCGATTCAACCCGCGGTGTCATTAATGTACGGTGCTCACAAAAAAAAAAAGAAAAAAAAATTACACAGAACGCGTGATCGGTATACTTGATCTCATGGGAGCGCTATCCTTGCGGCAGCCGAAGAAATACGTAGCGCTCAATACAAAAACACCACCTGGGAGGCCGCCCGCTCAATGTCAAAATCCCGACTGGACCTTGGTGGACACACCAAGTGACCGCCAAAGCAGTTAGGTCGGGGTCACACTGCCTATACATCATGCAAAAGACAGTCTGCCAACAGATTCGAACGCGAGTCACCGCGAGATCCTTGCTTCGAATGCCGCATGATAATGCGACTTGGCACACGGCATTCGAACCACGGATATTGGGGTGACTCGTGCTTGAACAGTTTCTTGTATGGTGTATGAGCAGTGTGGCCCTGCAGATTTAGTGATTGGATCACTCGATCCGTAGGCACCATGTTTTTACTGAATAGGGGCAAAACGGGTAAATCACCCGGAAAGCAAAATTGTTGTGCTACTCCTGGTCCAGCCGCCATTTCGGTTTTGAGCGAGCGGCCTCACCTGTTATGGATAATTTCTTCACTTGCCGCCAGGATAGTATTCCCATAAGGTCATAAGACACAGCTCACGCATTCCGTATAATTTCTGTGAACGCTGTGCGCACATTACGTGGCAGTATAGGCGAAGCTACGCTGGTCCTTGGTAGGTTTTAAAGCGCCGAGGAGCACAACTTTAACATGGAGCGCTATGGTGCGTATTGAAGCACGCTTCATGTTATGGGAGTGAGGTTGGAAGGGTTGAAGGCAATGGTTGACGAACCCCTACAGGAAGTTCAGCAGCTGCCACAAGCGCGGGCAGTTTCCAACACCTGGTATGGCGACGCACCAATCACTGAACTTTCTTTAACGGACTTAGTCAGCGACAATTGATGCAAGCGGCATTCCGTTTCGCAGATCACGCGGGGTCAATAGCAAAAAGGGTGTCAATCATTTTTGACACGGAAACGGTGCAATCCAAATTATTTTCTGGGGTTTAGGAAATAAACCGTGTAGGGTGTTGGAGAAAGGGTAATGCCCCTGATCCCTGTGCTTACGTCGGTCGTCACTGCAAAGTGTTCAACGCTATACGAAGGTGTTCTTAAATATTTTTATGGCCCTGTGATTACTTGGTTCCTGGGACGACAGTCTTGCAAAGGGAAAAGTAACAACACGTAGGCGAATTCGCATACGCCATATTTGAGGGTGTTCGCAGCACACAGAAAAAAACTCTCATTTAACTTCTAAAAGAAAAAAAAAATCTTGAGCGTGTGTGTAACAGGGGAAGACATGATCAAGTGTTGCGAACGCTCGCCGTCAGCATGAGCTTAGTAGTTTACAAGTTAAAAAAACTCAACTAAATGTTTAAAAAATATATGCACGGACATGTCTAGATCTACGTGTTTTCTCAAGTTCGCATTTTTGTTTTTTGTCGCAGGCAGCGCAATGGCACGGGTGGTACGCGGGGTGAACCTGGACAGCTTGGAAGATGAGTTCAAGCTCATGGAAATTGTGAGTAGCGGAAAGAACCGAAAATGAAGCGACATAATATTCGAATCAAGAGATTTTATGTCACTTTGTGTCAACATGACTTGCTCTAGTGTTTTACCTTAACTTTTTTATTCATAAAGAATAATTATCTGTGTTACCGATTTCAGCTCGTTCTTAAATTACGCACACGTAATTCTAAGCATACATATTTCTCACACCTGTTTACAAAAAAATGCTCTAATGTGCTTCTTCTTAATGTACGAAGAAGCCAGTCATGGTGGTTTCCGGAAGGCAACAGAGAAATGAAAAGGCTCGGTTAACATTTGGATTCACACAAAACAAAAACACCGTAACGTTACAGTCCTACAGAGCGTGATGTTCACGCGCTTGGAACCCCAGCGCAGCTCGTTGTTTTATGCCCAAATGTTATTCGTGCCCCTCTCGATTAAGTGGGTGTCTTTTCAAGAAGCACGAAGACCGCAGGCTCCAGCGTCTTCCAGCAAAAATCGAAGAGCGTGGCCTTTATTAATAGGTGCGGATTTTAGGCCAGGAACTTTATGGTATCCTTCCCTCGCGGGACTCACATGGGTTCAACAGGGTGCCTTTCCAGAACACATTTGCAGTGTTTCTTTTTTGTTTTTTTTACCGCAAAAATGCATTTTGTTTTTTTTTTGCCGCAAAAATAAACTACGTACCGCCGAACGCTCATTCTTCGCCCGAATGCAGCGCTAGTGATCTGAATCAGGCGCCAAAGTTCCAGAGTCAACCGTCACCCCGTTAACAGAAAAGTTACGAGTGATTTACTAAAACATGAAATATGGAAAAATGGGGCCGCCAGAACTTTCGAATACACAAACTGAAGGCGCCACTTACCGAAAACGGGCGAAAATGGCCGCCCCGTTTTGCTGCAAAAATTTTCCGAAAATCGCTTATAAATTTTGAACGAGATAACTGTTAGTTCTGAATCTTTGGTATCTGGTTCCGATCACTGGCGCTGCGTTTGGGCTGAGAATGAGCGTTCGGCAACGCGCAGTTTATTTTTGTTTCGGTAAAAAAATACACCGTAACTTTTCTTCTTTTTTTTTTAAGAGGTAAAAAGGGAGGGGGGGGGCACCCTGTATGTCGTCTGTTGGTTTCACTAAGAGCGATTAAGAAACGATGCAGTGTGTGGTGAGTGCCAAGCGTCGTATCAAATACCATATGGCTTCGTTTTTGGTCGTAGTATCGCTACACAAGAAAGTGGCGTTAGTCAATAAGAACTAGGCTAGGTGGCGAAAGTTACCGCCCGTTATAGAGGGTACAGCCGTTAGCGTCCATCCAAGAAGACCAAGTGTTGAATCCCCAAGTGCGAAAATCACTGATCTCGCTGATCTCTTATTGTAGTAGGCTGGATCGCGGATGGGGAGCCTGTCGGTGTCGCCACCGGCGGCCATTGCTTCAGGCAATACACGCAAGTCTATGAGAAAACGCACAGAAGGAAGAATATTGAATCATGCTCGCCGTGCTGGGGGGCGAGTATTTTATGGTGCGCTGCGATCCTTATGTCGGGTGTTTGGAGATCGGATCGGTATTTGTCAAACGTTCGAACGCCTATTAAAAGAATCATACGTACCGGAGCACCTACAGCTGAGGTGGCAAGCTTGCTCTCGTAGTGAAGTAAGCAAAAGAACTTGCCTTCAATAAGACCACCCTCAAGGAAGCCCAGAAGTTGATGAATGACAAAGAAGTTTTATTTCGACAGCGGCTTTTCGGGAGTAAGAGAATTCCGCGTAGCAAAGGCCTCGAGCTTGTCTGCTAAACCCAACTCAACGACACCAGTACCGACTCCGCGGTAACTCTAGGTAACTCTTGCCTCATTGAGCTGAACTACATCCTTCGCCCAGCAGAGTCACTCTCGAACAAAAGAAAATTACTTTTAAAAACTGAGAGGGCTGTCAGTTTTAATTTTTGTACACATGGTATTTGAAAGGCTTCCCGAAAAGCAGTCAAAAAGTTTCAGTGCCGACAACAGCTTAGAAACGGGGGAAACGGTGGCGACACTCGGCCCCAGCTGCCGAGGCCACGGTCCGCGATCCAGCCTACTACAATAGAGATCAAAGGCGGCGCCTTCAATGTGCGTGATTGGTCTAGCCGCTGATAGCAAACGCAATAAGACGTCGAGCGCCGTGACGCTGCACTTTTGGCGCTTCTTGACTGGCTCCATCAGATCGTGTAGCGTCGGCTGCGATCGGACTTAGCGTGAAACGGAGTGTATATATATATATTGGGCGTTTCAGCGAAGACTGACAGAAATTCCTACATTTAGTGTAATTGAGGTAGAAGGTAACTTTCTCGGGACCGCATTACTCGTAGTGGCGGATATTAGAAAATGCGCGGTACTTACTAATTAGGTCGCTATTTAATTAAAATTACTAATTAAAATTTTTGATTTGTAAAAACATACATATGGTTCCAATCAGAAACTTGCTGAGCGTCATTGAAAATCACTAAATCAGTAATTTGCGGAAATACTTTGAGCACGCAGGAAGTGTAGTAGCGCGTTAAAGTTTCCACTCGAGGAGCACGTACAAAGCTAGCGGTTGCGATAAGGCGCCCGCGCAAGTTTTCCGTCTGTTATCTAGTTCCAGTCTCGTACCTGCTGCACGAGTGGTGACTTTAGCACACTACTACGCTTCCCACTTGCTCAAAGTCCTTCTGAAAATGACTGATTTAGGGGTTTTCGATGGCGCTCAGCAAGTTTCTAATTGGAACCATGTCTATTTTCACTAATTAAAGAAAGTTAATCGGTAATCTTTAATGAATTAGAGATTTAATTAGTAATTATAGCACATTTTCTGACGTCCACCACCCCGAGTAATGTAGTCCCGGGAAAATTATTCTTTCACGTCCAATAGACTAATTGTAGGATTTTTTGTCAGTCTTCGCTGAAACACCCGGTGTATATAAAAGAAGATATGTCGTCCTGCAGCTGGTGGCACCTTGTCGCGCGCATAATGGCTCCGGGATGAGACCTTCGGGATTTCTATTTCGCCCCCAGCTGGATGCGACGGAGGACTTTGAAGAGAGGAAGGTGGTCCGCTCCAGGCTGCAGGAAGTGAAGGCCGTCAACCGAGGTGAGCACCGGAATAGAGTCCGACTCACCTGCGCTCTCTTCCATCCACTCCGCCTTCTCCCCGGCAGAGCACGGGTGGCGCATTTAGGGCCGGAACAATCAAATGAAAATAAAAAAAGAGAAAGACAGGCAAAACTGCGGAGATTCCTAATTTACAATGCCGACCTTAAAGTGAAGTTTAAACAAGCGGAAGTTAATTCCTGCACCAAACACGTGATTGAAAAACAAGGACAATATGATACTGTTCTTTCTTATTTTTTTTTTTTATCTGGAAATATTTTTTTTTCACCATAATGCCAAACTGATGCAGAAAAAACTCGCTATTTAACCTTCGAATCTTCTTTGTTGCGTTAGCGGAATCATCGTTAGTTTAACACATATTGCAATGTTCTTTTTATATAAAATTGAGTAGAATTTGAAGTTGTTTTGTTTGTAAATTAAACGATAGTAAAATTAACTCAGAAAGTACGTTTTTTTTATATTTGAGACGTGCATGTTTAGCCAGCTAAGAAAGTCAGGGACCGCACATAAAAAACAAATTAATGAAAATGTGTATCCCGATTTTCTTTTTTTTTTTTTTTCGTCTTTGAATTTTGGTTGTGTGGTCAGGGTAGTTTACTTTCACTTTCATTGTTTTGCGGTGTCGTTAGTGGTACTATACTTATTAGACTTGTTTAACTGGTTTCTGATGCTGTACAGTGCATCGATAGCCTTTTCATTACCGAATATTTATTGTCAACTGTTTCCGTTACATGAGCCCACAATCGATACAGTAGCTTTCTCAAGGTGAAGCCCACGCATTTCCGCGTTTTATGGTCCTTTCACTGAATTTTTTAGCAACAAGCATAATGCTGAAAACAAAAAGTAGGTATACTTGTCTTTTTCTCTACGAGACTTTAAATACGGTACGACGGTACATTAAAACTGAATCAATTTGTTCATAGTTCTAGTCAAGACAATCCAGCTTGTCCGAGCAAGATGTCAACGACCCTCGACCCCGGTGTTCGCTGTTCAGGTCGGAGCAGCTCTCGACTCAAATAAAATCACATTGTCTGCATGGTTTCTACATTTCTGCAGATTACGAGTTTACCTTTAGTCATTCCAGCATCAGCCTTATTAAAGTATACCTAATCTAGAAATGCTCACGCAGTAATTACATAACTTACGCTGCAACACCGAGCGTGATATTTTCCCTATATACGCATAGTTCACAATCAAAAGTAAAACAAAAGTTTACTCCAGGTTTAACGTAACAAAGAAGCCACCGGAAAAAAACGGATGTTTAGCCCCCTATACAAATGGCATTTGAATTACGCACTGACGCTCACAAAAAATGTGTCAGTGTACACTTAATGTACCTCATGTAGAGGTGGGAAATCGTTTGTATTTTCGTTGATTTCCGAGTTACGTTAAGTCGGAATACACGTTTTCTAATGATCAATTCTCCCGGCGGCTTTCGTAACAGTTTCGTACATAGTCCAGTGCTGGCTGCATTGCTGTATACATAGACAAATTAACTCTGGACTTTGTCGTTTGCCCGAATTGTTCGTTAGAAACGAGAAAACATCTAGAGTTACCAACAACTTAATTATAACGCAGGTGAGCACCTTAGTATCTCCCCCCTGCCAATAGGATCGCTCCATTAGTAGATAAGAACGACCAAAAAGCCATCAGGAGCAAGAAACTCCAACATAATAAACCAGGATCCGCAATTATTACGTTCAAAGTTACTGTATGTAAAGTAAATACTACGATGAAATAAATATTGTTTTTTTTTTCGCAGCTTCGCACGCTTATCATCCGGTCGGATTCGCACAACTTGTCAATACGTGATAAAAAAGAAAAGTCTGAAAGTCGTTGGTATTTTTGTGTGGTTCCAGCGAAGCGCGAGGCCCTGGTGCGGAACCGCGAGCAGGAGCGCGAGAATTCGATCAAGCAGCGGCAGCAGGAAGCGGCCGAGCACAAGCAGCGCACGCTGGCCATGTACGACAAGATGGCCAAGTCGGCGCCCGCCGGAGGGCCCAAGCACATGGACCTCAACATCCTCAGGGACGGTACGCTCCCTTCCACGCTCAGCACTCTGCTTCCGGAAACTCGAATATAAATAGGATTCACATACATATATATATATTTTTTTCAGGTTGGACACAGGGGGTTATGTAATTAGGCATGAACACGCAACAGCGGGGTTTTCACCTTTTAAATGCAACGCAATAAAAACATGAACACGTGACGTCATGTTATGACGTGCTATCATGAGGTCACGGGGTTAATTGACGTCAAATTCCGTGACGTCACGTGATATTATGACGTCAAGATACATCGGGATGTCACGTGACACGATTTCGTACCGTGACATTTTTCACGTAACACCATGACGTCACGTCACGTCACAGTCACGTGACCTCATACACGCACACAGCATGCGCCCAGCTTATTCGCAACACATTCTGCGCGTCTCTAGGCTTATGAAATAAATGATCGAGACATGCACATGAGGTTCTCTGTATATTCTAGTGGAAAGTGCCTGTGCAGTCGTTTCCAAGGTGAAGAAGGTTTACATAATTAAGTAACTTCCGTTTGGTGTGGATGGCAACCCGCGCCCTAAAGTCGGCGACCATGCCACCGAAAAACAAACAAAAAAACGCTTTCTTCTTGGTGTTTGATATTGAGACCTCCTCAAGACGGGCGGAGCGCTCTACGAATTGAGCTAACCAGGAATTACCTAACAGTGGAGCAAGCGGATGCTAACTGTTGCCACTATAGCGTTAATTGTACTCATCAGATGGATGTGCATCTGATGTTTAATCCCCAAAGTGTTATGTTTGGGCTAGTTGGTCGATGAGCCTCTTGTTTTAAAACAGCGCGACAGGACAAGGAAAAATAAAGACGAGACAAACGACAGCGCTGTCGTCTGTCTCGCTTTTACTTTTTTCTTGTCTTGTCGCGCTGTTTGAAACCAAGATGCTATGTTTAATTATTAGATTGTTCAGAGGGGGGGGGGGGGGGCAAAACTTTGACGGTCAAAACTAGCCTTAATTTGATAAATAAAGATAAATAAAAATTCAGATATCGCGCTTTCCCAACTTTAGCATGCAGTGTTCACATGCCACACGCTTGTAATGGTAACATAGTGGCCAGAATACCTTTTATGGAAGGTTTTATAGTAGTCTAGTCCTAGACCTTGTGTGCAACACGGCTACGAACGCGTGGGCTCACGCGAATAGAGCTAATTGGAAATCAAACACCAGCCTTCGATGCTTTCGGGGCACTTCATATAAGATACACAATTCCCGCACTTCCTCAATTCAATCCCCGTCCCTGCCCGTTTCGATCTGGATGACCACCGTAGCGGCGTGTGGTCGTATATTACTACTGCGTGGTGCACGTTAAAGACCCCAGGGTAGCGGTTGTACCGCACTCGCTAAATTGCTCATCTACAGCTGAGACACCAGGCGCTCACTGAGGGAGACTAACTTCCGGCTGTATAAACATATACACAACAATTTGCTTTGCTTCCTCAAGATTCAGAGTCACGAAAAGTGACAATGACAAACACACAAAAAGCCAACGTTGGCGACAAGTTCGTTTGCTGTGTCTACAGTAACGACATGTTCTAACATGCTCGCCACATTGCGAAGTCAGATGAGTCTGTGTCCCTCGTTGCCCCAGAGTTTGCTTCCCTCGTTGCCCCAGGCATGGAGAGCTCGGAGGACGACTCGTCGCGCAAGGTGGACCTGGTGGAAGACGCCATCAAGCAGCGGCAGATGGAGGCCGACCTGCGCAAGAAGCGCATCCTGGCCGCCTACGACGCCGCCGCCAAGTCCGGGCCCGCCGGAACCGTCAAGACCGTGGACTTCGACTCCTTCAAGAAGGCGGACGGTGAGTGCGTGCACGTGCTACGCCTCCCATGGCGTACCTCTCAAAAACTCAAACACATAAAAAATACAAAAAGGTGAGTTTTTTTTTTTTTTTTATATTTAGGAGCGACCGTTTTAATTTGTTTGGAGCACATTAAACAGTCGTTGCGGGAGTGAAGAACATAAAAAGGCAGTCACGAACATAAAAATACATTCCCTGCTGAATTTAGCGGAACAAATCCTTCGCTAATGGGGATGAAAATTAACAGGTGAAACATATAGCGAAAAAAATCAATTTCTCCGCAAATTTCAGCGGGAAAAATGAATCGGTGTCTAGGTCATACAACGTCAATATACCCGCTAAATTTAGCGTGGAAATCGGATGATGTTAATGACACATGACGTCAAGTTCCCCCGCTAAATTTAGCGGGGAAACTGAATGGTTGTATAGGTCACATGACGTCAAGTCGTGACGTCAATTTCTCCGCTAAATATAGCGGGAAAATGCACGGACGGTCGGACGGACAGACGGATTAATTTCTGGAGTTTAATGGTTCCCTTAAAAAGCACGTCATGCTTGAACAGAACATGTTAGTTGAGGACGTGTCTGATGCTGTCTGTGTCCCCCTGTGGCCTCCTTAATAACTCGGAAGTCTTCCTCCCTTCCTCAAGCCGGACAGTCCAACCTCGCGCCGTGAGTGTGCGAGTTGTGTCGGTTTTTGTTGTGTATGAAATAACTTAGAGGACTAAGATACATACTTCTACGTTCGTGCGAAACTCGTAAGTACTCTGTTACTGCGGCCTGCAGGAAAAAAATCAGGCCATTGACTGGTGATCTGATCACGCTTCGACTATACGAGTATAGTGCCTGGAACGCGTCTAAGTTCTCCCGCAACTGCTAGTGCGGGGAGGAGAAAACTAGCGCGTATTCTTCCACTGAACGCCAGGGATGCATTCCGTAAAGGACTAAACGAACGTCAGAAGGTTGCTCTATGAAGCATTTTTTTCCCGTGTTTTGTTAAGAATATATTTCGATGTTTTATTCCCTTTACTTACCACAGTATCTTGCAAATAAGGCATATATTTGCTGCCTATACATGCTAACAAGCTACGTGCAGCGTTATACAGCGTTGGAGCAAAAGCGCAACTACACTGATTTTTTTTTTTTTTTTTTTTTCTGGCACTTGCGCACGACTTATGAGAGGGAGTATCGAATTCACAGTTTTGCAGACCCCGGAAGCATTCCGTGATGCTCAAATGATCGTTTTCTTCTTCAAGTGGTTTCCTCTATCTCACCTGCGCACTTGCAGACACGCAACGTGCGTTCTCGTTCGTATAAGGAAAGAAGAAAGACCGCGAAAAGCTCGAGGTTTCTCCGAACCACCGACGTCATGGCATGCGCTTGGTGACGCAAGAAAAGCGCGATTAGCGAAATGTTTGGCGTGGTAGGACAAAGTTGAAACAATATTTTCACTATTTCTGTTGATAAGTATGGTGTAACAATAATGATAATAATACAAATTTCTGCTGTATTATGATTATACAAGTATGTATATCAATCAAACCGCCGCGCACAAAATTGAGTTTTACGATTAGCTCAGCAAGCGTTGAGGTTCAGTCTCGGACTTCATGGGATACGCCGCCGTGTCTTTTAATGGCGTCACTCCTCCTATTGTATACATTTCTTTAAGTTGTCGTCAGCAGACAGTTTTCTGGAAGCGTCTCGGCGTCCTCGCTCCTGTCTTTTATGTTCGTTATTTGTTGTCCCAAACGCTTTTAGCAGTTGGCCAAGTCCCGCTGTGGCACGTGACGCTCGCAACGTGACGATCGTGACGCGACACGACGAAATCTGTGCTTGCTGCCGTAAGAATGCAACTCTGCAACGCGGACCCGCTGTCTACTTCGAAACTTAGACCCAACCAGTTATTGAAGTATTGACTCATGTTTGTTTTTTTCCGTCCGCACAGTGTCTGGTTACGAGCCCCCCAAGCCCACTGGCGCCATCACGGGTAGCTCGACCTTCAGCGCCGCCGGTGGAGTGCCCAAGATCGTCAAAGGTCAGTCTGCGTATCCGCGCCGTCTCGGTCAACAGCGTGGGATCCACCCCGCGGCCGCTGCGCCTGTTGGCCTAGGGCCCTTGTTACATTGTGCAAACGAACAACATACACCCCTCGCGGGCACACGAAAGACATTGTCTTAGAAGCCCTTTTTACGCTTGAGCGTCACCAACGAACTACATAATTGCATTTTAGCGATCGCGCGATACTGCTTCACTGTAGTTCTGCGGAAGGTTTAGATTAGTCAGCTTCACTGGATGAATGAATATAACTAAACCCCTTGAATTGGGCGGCAGCTTGCGCCATCTAGTTATTGTTTTAATCTCTACCGATAATATAAAGGTTAAGGCAAAGTCGTTTAAGTATATCGTTTTCCTACGGCGCGATCGCCAAGCCTCTGGCCTTTCGAAATCACAGCGTCCGATGGCGAGGAGGCATGAGACCAGGTAACGTGTCCGCTGTGCAACGAGCGAGAGCGACGCGGTCTTCTGCGACGAACGCCTCGTCATTATGTTGACAGCGCAGTCAGAGCCGCTTTCTGGCTCAACCGATCAGCGGTCGTGAAGAAAGCACCTGATCATTCCGTCCGTACCAAAGCGCCTAAGCATCTATAAGCGCGCACAAACAAACAAACAAACACCAAACACACATAGACACACACATACGCGCACATACGCACACGCGCGGGAGTGGGCGCGGATTGTGCAGCCGAGTGATGACCTAGGCTTCCCGACAGTTCAGAATATCACCATTAATGACTCATTCGACTGAACGACGCTCAAGAAGCCAAGTTCTGCGTGGCTGTGCTTACAATGAAGTCTATTTATTATTCTTGCATGTATATTTCTCAAAGGTAGAGTACCCGTCGATGAAGGTAGAGCTGCTGGCCCACTCTCCGTTTCCTTCGCAGTGTACTATCACAATCAACATGAGCTAAAACAGCCAATCCGGCTATTTTTTTTTTTCTTCTGCGTCTCCGGTTCCCACAAGCTCTATTTCTTATTTTTCTCTCAAATTGTCAAATAGTCGGAGGCGCGGGACTTCAACTTGGCAGTCCGTTTCCGGTTCGAGCCACAGCTTTCCAAAAACTGGCAGCATACACCAAAGAAGCACGAAGGACTATTTCAGCCCATATTGAACGCGATAGCACATCGCTGTCAAGGCTATTGGTGTGAATGCGCACGTCCAAGCAAAGCGATAGATAAAGCCGCGCTCTTGCGCCAGTAGCTTTGAGAGTATAGAGCACAGTATGCACGAAACGATGTAATGAGCCATATATGTTCCTATCGTTGGCCTCAAAGTTCGGTTTGACTGTTTTGCAATATGTTACAGTTTCTGCCCATACTACATGAATATGTTGCGTTGGTGTTTTTATATATCCGTACCTCGTGCAATATCGCTTACCAAACAATACACCGCAAAAAAAAAAGTCTAAACTGAATGTTTACAATACTTTTTCCCATAGGTAACTGGAAATTCATGCACGAGAAGAGTGCAACATTTGAGAGTATGAAATTATTTCTTCGGCGTTCAAAATTATGTAATAATTTGATAAGTGAACCAGAATTATAGCTGGGCCGTAGACCCTCTGGTATTAACAAAAAAAAAAAAAAACACCCACCAAAAAACCTTAAAAGCCTCCGCCGGTGTAAAAAAAAATACAAAATGGGTAAAAAAACACAGATAAACAACAGTTAATGTCAAAAATACAAAATCGCTTAATTATTAAAAACCGACTTTATGAAAATATTTGCTACATCTAGGGCTGTTGTTGTCAAAACAAAAACGAAAACCAAAATTCTAGAAATGTTTGTCACATCTAGGACTGTTTTTGTGGAAACATTCGATTGAAACAGTTTCTTTTTTTTTTTAGATTTCTTCCACGGCTAATTACCATTTCTAGCTTCCGTCTGAAACAAATAAAAAAAATACACAAATATAAAAAAAATTACTAAGCACCAAAAATCATTTGCCGCTTCTTTTTATAAATAAAACCGAAAAATCGACGGCCTAATTGTAACACTCCAAATAATTTCAACATCAAATTAAGACATAATAAACGCCCGCTGGTGGAATTTTGAAATAAAGCAACAAAAAAAGCAAACGCAATAAAGCAATAAAGCATAAAGCGTGGGTATGATTCACAAAAGTTCTACATCGCCGTGCAGAACACGATTGAACTCGATTTTCCCGACGTGAGAGTATTTTGTGATGCTCTTCGCACTTTAATGAATGAAGGTCACGTTTCATCGCGCTTTGAATTGTAAGCGTTTTTATATAGTTAATGCATTTAAAACTCTCAGATTATAAACTTATAGGGTGACTCGAACACTCAAATGCAAATGCACATTTGTGCAGACGTGAGCGGTAGGGTCCTTTATCAACAATTATAGCTCACCTTGCCGACCATCTCAACTGCAGCTTTAAAAACTAAATTTGCGTTTGAAAGAAATAGTAATCGCGAATAAAAAATACTCGGAAATATATACGAACAAAAAACAAATTAAACCAACTAATCATGGCCATTCAAGATGTTAAACCAGTCCTTATCTTCGAAAGGTCCAAAAATTTCCCCAATTTGAAGAAAAAAAATTGATGTTGCAGAATAATGCACAATAAATGGACTCCCGTACCATTGACATTAATTTCTCCTAAAGTAATGTCATGCGTCCTTGTCATGTGTGTTTCTAATGTGTTTACAGTACTGAGACTAAGCAACTCTTTCGAGCAGGGGTTTTGTAAGCGAAGTGAAAGATAAAAAAAAATAATTTCAACAGCCCGTCTAACTATGGTGACATTGTCTACGCCGAACATTTAGGCACCTTGTTTTAGCTGTAAAGACCAACAAAAAAAGAAAAGAAAACGCAATATGGCAAAGACATTTTAGAGCTGGTGCATTGAACTCCGTTGTAAACGATACGTTTTTATAGATGAAAATTGTTCCACAGGGACATCCGCAGAGCAAAACGCACAGTGTAAAAAATCGTGACGTCATCACTACGTGTCAGTGACGTCATCACAACAGCCTATCTGTACAATGCCCTAGGCGTCCAAGTGGATTCAATGAACGACATATTTGTGCCCGTTTTTCGCGCTGTCTGCCACAACCGAGAATCTTGACAGCGTAAAATGCACTTAGCAGGAGCGTTAGGAATGCTCGTTGTTAACACGTGCTCAGCGGCGACGCAATCGGCTATGGCGGCCACTTTATTGCCAAACCATCCAAGCACCAAAAAGAATGTTGGAACTAACACAGTCTGAAACGTGGGCCTTAGATATACAAAATCGCCTTAGACACACTCGTCACTCGCCTTAGATATACAAAAAATTTGAAGTAAATTACTAGAAGCAATATGCTTTGACGAACTCACGCGCAAAGTGTTATTTGTTTTAGGTGGTAGCTTTAGAAAACTTCCTGCTGCAGCCGCAAGAACGTGCAGAGCGTGTAACCATACTCTTAGCATGCTCCTTGGTGTTTGGCTAATACGGGAAAAGGTATATAGGGCATATTAGAGAGTTTGAGTAGACCGCAAGGAAGAGCGGGCCTAGCGGGCACGTCCTCACTCTATGCTTCGAAGTGACGGCATGAGCTCCCGCTAGTAGAGCGTAGCTCTAGAAGACGGCCTCCTAAACGTCTCTAGTGTGCCGTAGTTGTGCCGTGGGCGAAATACGGTGTAGAACATCCGCATTTCTTAAAAAGGTTGCCTTAAAAGCAAGGTAATTAGGTATAAGCAGTCCCACCAAACCGAACAAAACAGTCTACAAATAATGGCGTCTTAATTAACTAAGAAAAAATGTATCAAACAAATCGAAAATTGAGAAAATAAACAAAAGTAGTTTTCCGGTACGAAAATTCTCCGGATGCCTCCAATGCCCACAAAAAAGTACTGAATATTTTCTTTCAACAGAAACAGAAACTATACAAAAACGACACCAATTTCAGACATCATATCATTATTCGGAATGTAAGTGAGCAACATTTAATAGTTTGAAGTAGTCATTCACAGCTAATGTTGTGGGCAAGTCTCCAACATTTTGTTTTCACGAAGATGTCTATGAATGCGAAGCGCCACTCGACAAGCACCGCTGCAAACCAATCCCAAAGTTACGAACGTAGATTATGACACAGGGCTGTTCGGCACTAAGTTGCGATTGATTATGGTAACGCACACAAAAATATATCAAAATATTTACGATAAAAAAAAACGAGTACCAATGAGTGAGAAAATAATAAAATAGCAAATTGGGTATGAGAGTTAGGCACTACGTGCTTCGAAATGTCGTAGGAAAGGGGCACTTGCAGGTGAGGCTCCGATTGTTCGATGGGGTGGGCGGGAGATCCTCGTCGGTCCTTGTAGCGTTCGCAGAGCCCCAGCCCTTCCCAGCGTGGCATGTTCCCGTGGCGCGCATGCAGTGTTCCCGCATGGTTGTCCGCGCGCTCTCCGCCCTGCTCCTCTTTCTCTTCCGTCGTGCCTCACCCTGCCGTGTTTCCTCGAGGCCGCTGGACATTCGGAGGAGAGCGCTCTCAAATGTTTACATTTGACGCTTAAGGTACCGTTTGGCTCTTGTTGAGAACGAGGCAATCTGTGTTTCATCAAAGTTCAAACCAAACTTGCCAATCACATAAAAAAGCTGACCACATTAAAAAAAAAAAAAAAAAACTTATACAGGGTGTTGCTTTGAATCTTAGCGCGATAAAACGAGTCGGAAAACTTTACGCCTGTAGATTGAAAGCTCAAATTTTAATCGAGTGTGCATTTAGGTGGTGGAATTTACATGATGAAATTTCAAGGAGTAGCTCCTTTACTACAAAAAACGAGACCAAGAAACTTGACAGATGTGTTCGCAAACAACCCAGCTAGCGATGGCTGTAACTTGCGTCGCCGTCTGCTGATAGACGCAGTGAGTAGACAAAAAAGTACTTCGTCTGTTCGCGGCGTTCATCGGAAAGTTGCGCCAAAAAATTACACTCATCGCTAACTCGGTCAAACACCTCCGCC